GAGGGTAAAAAACCTTCAGTATGCAGTTCCCCCTGCAACTCCCCTATACTTACCAGAGCTGGATCCAGCGGCTGCTGTCCTAGCCATTGGCTCTAACTGCTGTCAATCACAGCCAGTGAGAAGGGAACGGGACTATTCTGTGTGTCTTACAGACACACCGTGCAGGGCTCAGGAGCGAGCTTGCATGAGTGCCCCCATAGCTTTCTAAAAGGAGATTCGACAGGGGGTAGGAGCTCATCGCACCGGTGGGGGACCCAAGAAGAGGAGGATCGGGGCTGCTCTGTGCAAAGCTCTTGCACAGAGCAGGTAAGTATAACATCTTTATCATTAAAAAAAAAGTAAGCCTTTAGTATCTCTTTAAGGATGTTGGTAGGTGCAGGCGCTGTTGAGTCTTTAAAGTGAACGTACACTGCAAACCAAAAACACTATTAAATTAATTTTCAATATACAAAGCAAACTCAACCATCCATCCATGTCTCCATGCTTTTTTTTGCTGAGAAATCAGTTTGAAAAACACCCCTATCTACTAGGATTTTATCTAGTTTTGCTTGGCAATCTTTTCAATAAAATACTACACTATCAGAAATGTCTGTTTGGGCTCGTTTGATTGCAAGCCCCCCCCCCCCCCCCTTAAGGTGGATTCTTTTACTGCTCTGCACCTGCCATTAAGAGAGGTCCCCCTGGTGGTTATTCAGGATACCTGTTACCTGGAGTGTGATCCCCCTGGTGGATGGCTGAGTGATTCCTGATCCCTGGAGGTTGGTGACCCAACAATTACCTGTCTCTCTGCCAGTTGGCCAGTTGATCCTTGGATGTTCATCTTTCTATACCCAGAGGACCAGGAGTGGTTTAAGTACTCAAATGCGCATATTATTGCGCTATCTGGTTAGTGCAATCTACACTCATTTTACATCACTGGAGTCATGTCTTTCACTTCTATATAGATTTTGGGACTTATGTGCTTATTTATATTATTAAAGTTCACTACCCGCACAATTAAATGTCCACAGACGTTCATTGCACTTGAACATAACTTTAGTGCCTTACAGCGCAAATATATCTGCTTATACTTTATGTGTCATTTGTTTTTTTAGCGCTGCATATATTTATGAGATTTTACGACGGTTAAGAGGTTTTGCCTTTATGTCAGCTGTTTTTTTCCTGCACTACCTAGCGCTCGTATATCTTTTGTCATTATTTTAAGGAACTGATATAGATGAAGGGAATCCTTAGTCGCTCTGTTTAAAACCAGAAGTAAAGGGGCTCTGAGCTGTAATTTTCCAGAAATTTAAAGCGGATCTCCAGTCCCCCTAATAAATTTTTGTTAAAAGCAGATCCACGATGACCTTTCAAATAGCATTAACAATTGAAATAATTCAATATTAAAAGCATTGTAATTACTTAGTAATTCTTAAACATTTACCAGGATCTCGTAAGCAGGCAGGTGCCATGATAGCTGTGGGCATCTGAAGCCTGCAGGTTTTTATTTCCTGGAATCGTGCTTCTGGCTATCCCAGCATGCACCACTCATTCTCGCGCATGCACAGTACAGACACTGCTCGGCACAACGTGTGCAGTACAGGTTGCCATAACAATGGTGGGAATGGATGAATTTCCCGTCCCCAGCCCCCTGCCCCCATCAGGCAACCTGTACAGCACTGTACTGCATACACATCTTCCTGTAATCATGGACTCTGGTAAAATGGCACGAAACACCTCCCATTGTGTCATTTCCGGTTTTCAAGTCCTGCGATTACGGGAAACCAAAGGACTCCTGGGATGCAGGAAACGACATCCCGGGAGACCTTGCAAATCGCCTTACGAGTCATCGCCTAGGGCAGTGGGGATTAGAACTGCAGGCTTGCAGTGGATTAAAAGGTATGTATAATAAAAAAAAGATTTCCAACTTGTTCTTTATTTCACAGGGACTACATAATAAGGTAAAGTATTAAAAATGGGTGGAACTCTGCTTTAAGAACAGTTTTTTTGTGAATGCCAGTTTTGCTGTAGTAGGTTGTATACACCACACCAGCAGAAACAGAGCATTTCCCAGAAATGGTATTTAAAAGAATTTAGCATTTTGAAAACAGCATTACTATAATTGCTATTCCCCACCAAATGGAATGTTAACATTTTTTTTTTCACTTTGCTACATGTCCCCTAAGGCAGCATCCAACCTCCTTACCATTTGTTTGCAATCCTTTCCCTATTAACCTAGAAATAATGGCCATTACAGTATAAAATTCATCTCCCATTGACTTCAATAGGGTTCAGAATTGGCACCTGAACTTTAGTTATGCTTGCATAGAGCTCGCCCCCGTAGGAGCTGTTGTAGTAATGTCCACGTGTTCCCAAATTTCACCCCGCAGCCAGGCACAAAGTAGTTTCACAGCTGCACATACACACCTTTGCTCATTGTCACCAATAATCAGTCTAGGGGTTGTTGTTTTGTTAATGTTATATTATTGGAGAACTTGCATAGGAATTGGGAAATTAATTGGATATTCCAGAAGTAGAACTAATAACAGTTGAGTACAGAAGCAGCCTTGAGCAAAGTCCCAATGTTAGGAAGAGGTTAAACGGACACTGCTCTTCAGGACACCAGCCGGTGTCCCCTCGTTTTAGACCCACACTGAATATAAAGCATCAGAGGGGTAGCAAAGCACACAGGTCCCAAAGATCCCACAGTGTCTGTACTCAAAAGACCCAAGGACAGAATAGTAGCCTCCTTCCAATCTTCCAAGTGATGCCTTCCAGTGATACCACACAGATCTTTGACAGACAGCTCCCTCAGTCAGATTTCTGAAGAACCAAGATTACTCTCTCTCTTACTTCAGGCCCTCAGGTCGCCCACCTGAGGCCACATGGTAGCACGTTCCTGGGATGATAAATAAATAAAAAAAATGCAGCACAACAATATATATACAAATATGGTGCTAATCATATAATACGTGCAAATGAAAAATCAAAAAAACTGTGCTTGTGAAAATCAATGGGTGCTATACCAGATGTCTTATCAATACATACATATAGGACCCCATAAACTGCACAGAACCGGTGCTATAAATGAATAGTGCACACAAATAACAAATGTCCTTAATAGTGAACTGTTCCTTTAAATCTTGAATATCAGCACATGGACTTGTGGTATATATCCTATCAATCGTGATCCAAATACACCGAATATAAGTGTCATCTGAATATGGTATAAAAAAAAAAACGCTGAACCGACCCTTTAAATCCGCTGTACTTCAAATAGACCAGTGTAACACACTACTGTATGAACGTGTACGGTGCTCCTGTGTCACCCCTTAGTGCTCATCCACTTCCAGCACTCTATTGCGCTCACCTTCAGGTTTGACCTGTAATGTAAAGTCAAACTGTGCTTTCCCCTTTAACCTGGGAGGGTATACTGGTACATAAATCTTCTACCACCATTAGCCAGCACTTTTAACCATCTCCAGATCGCACCACATCCATGTGAAAAGAATGCTCAATATAGTGTAGTATTGCCACTCAAAACAGCCTTCATTTAAAACAATCTAGTAAAACTCACATGAAAATGTGTTCTCCTGGGAAATCCCTTTTCCAAAATGGCGGTACGTGCAGTTCCAGTTTGTGGCCTGACATACCTTATGTGTTACGTCATGTCATACTCCTGATGAAGTCACGTGAAGTGACGTCAGGCTGCAGGCTGAAAACCAGAAGTGCACAAGGGATTTCTGCACAATTCTTACAGCAAACAATGTATAGTGAATTTTTAACCCTGTAGTGTCCCAGGAGGACACATTTTCATGTGTGTTTTAATAGATTGTTTTAAATGAAGGCTGTTTTGAGTGGCAATACTACACTATATTGAGTATTCTTTTCACATGGATGTGGAGTGATCTGGAGATGTTTAAAAAGTGCTGGCTATCGGTGGTGAAGATCTATGTACCAGTATACCCTCCCGGGTTAAAGAGAAAAGCGCAGTTTGACCTGTCATTACGGGTCAAACCTGGAGGTGAGTGCAAGAGAGTGTTGGAAGTGGATGAGCACTAAGGGGTGACACAGGAGCACCATACACATTCATACAATAGTGTGTTACACTGGTCTATTTGAAGTACAGCGGATTTAAAGGGACAGTTCACCATTTTTTGATACCATATTCGGATGACACTTATAGTCAGTGTATTTGGATCACGATTGATAGGATATATACCACACAAGTCCATGTGCTGATATTCAAGACTTAAAGGGACAATTCACTATTAAGGACATTATTTGTTATTTGTGTGCACTATTCGTTTATAGCACCGGTTATGTGCAGTTCATGGGGTCCTATATGTATGTATTGGTAAGACATCTGGTATAGCACACATTGATTTTCACAAGCACAGTTTTTTGTTTTTTCATTTGCACGTATTATATTAGTAGCACCGTATTTGTATATATATTATTGCACTGCATTTTTTAAATTTATTTATGTTTTACATTTGGGAACACATTATATGCTAGCCCAAGTTGTTTAGGAGGTCCATAGTGCTGAAGGTTTTCTGCACACGTTCCTGGGAAGGCAGTGTGCCTGTTCCCCCTTGGCTGGTACAATCCTCTCCAGGAAAGACCCAGGGCTCAGTGTGCCCAAAGAACAAAACCCTCTCCCAGCATTTCTCAGGGCTGCACTGGCTGAAATGGCATTAATATTCATACTGTGTTCTGCATGAGTTCCACCTATACATCCAGAACCTTCCTAGGTTACTTAGATACAGAGAAAGTCAGGGGTAGAGCTAGCAGCACTTGAACACACTGAGCAAGCACTACTAACAATTACAGCTCTCTGTTAAGCAGAAAGTCAGATTAGATTTTGCTAACAGTTCTCCTGTTAAGTAGAGGAACCAACTATATTCTACTTATCCTAGCACCCATCTAGGAGAGTACTACACTTGCAAAAACTTATTTGAACTAAAACCAGGTACATTTGGCTTATTCCTGCCTGCCACCATTGATGTGTTTTTTGCTCCCAGGGGCGGACTGACCATTTGGAAACTCGGGCACTGCCCTAGGGCCCGGAGTCAGTAGGGGGCCCCATGAGATGCCCCTGGTACCTTTTTCATAGGCTTTTTTGAGTTTGGGCAAGGACACAGGGGCCCCATGATCCCCTATTGCTCGGGGGCCCCATGAGTTGTCAGTCCGCCCCTGTTTGCTCCATTAATGTACTGTACATGTTGGAAGTTGCATTGGCGATCCCTTGTTCTGTGACTGGGCAATGTTGATTATTATTAATAAGGAAAGACTGCAATATCCCCAATATTTAGAAAGGGGGCCACAAAGGTGGGCATCCACCACAGATCTACACTAAATAAATGCAGACCAATTTTCCAAAAGGGTGAGAAGATCAGTGTTCATTTATAATAAATTTGATCAATATATTCAAAATATATACTATATACTGTATATTCCCCATGTTTCCTGAAAGATATTGGGCATTAAATAATAAGGATCCCAGTCAAGTGCACCACCCCCCCTAACACAGCAATGGAAGCTTTAACAGAGATAGATTAGTGACAGTTTTTTATTATTAAATAACTGAGTGTGTGAAACATGTTAAAAATCTCTGCTCATCTCCTGTGTATTTGATTTCATGGATTGTACAGAACACTAGGGATGGTTCCTGGACGGAAGATATGTGCCTCCATTATTTCTGTTGTGGTCCCTTTAAGGGAAACAATAAGAAACATTTTTGGAGTACTCAGGGATTCTTACCCGTGCAGGTTAGAAAGGAGAAAACTGATTGACAGCTTACTCAGGATTGGTAAATCCTGATTTGGGACCCAGAACTTGGTGGCTCGAAGAGTCTTTGGGTGATAAAGAACCTCCAACCCTGACTACAAAGACAGTGGCCCTAAAAGGGTTAATTCGCATACAGAAGAAGCCTGAAAAGAAAAAGGAAGCAGCAGTCAGCAGCTGTCTCTGAAGAGTAGTGTGCAACAGCAAGAGTTGAGAAAGTACTGTAAGCTGTTGATTGGCTGAGACCCTGCTAGGCTCTTGCAACCTTTCAGGACCACTGGTTAAGTTATATTGTCCAAGTCAGACCAATGTAACTATGCAAAAATGGCCATACTTGGAATTCAGCTTTAATCAATTTTTTGTTTGTAATATTTAATAAAACATTTTTCTTAATTTCTTCTACTGTGTCCTCGTGAAGTGTATTGCTGCTGGAGGGAATTCTAAAGACACAGTGGAGATAGCCAAGAGAGGAAGTACAAAACCTAGCACTGTGACCACTTCCAAGATCTACCAGGAAGAATGATAACAGTAAGATCCTCCATTGTGTGTGCCCTTTATCAATCAGTCTTTAATAAGATTGACATTTGTTAGGACTAATCCACTGTAAAGCTGGGTATTTATTTATTTATTTCAGGTACTTATATAGTGCTGTCAATGTATGCAGTGCTTTACATATATATTGTACATTCACATCAGTCCCTAACCCTCAAGGGGCGTACAATCTAAGGTCCCTAACTCACATTCATACATACACATACTAGGGACAATTTAGACAGGAGCCAGTTAACCTACCAGCATGTCTTTGGAGTGTGGGAGGAAACTGGAGTACCCGAAGGAAACCCACGCAGGCACAGAAAGAACATGTAAACTCCAGGCAGGTGGTGCCATGGTTGGCGATTTGAACCAACAACCCTAGTGCTGCCAGGCGGAAGTGCTAACCATTTAGCCACTGTGCTGCCCACACCATTTGTTTTTTTCATTCAAACAGCGGGTTGAACAAAAAATAAATATATAAAACTAGCAGATTCCTGCAACCATGCAAGCGAAGTCAATGCAGGAATTTCTCTCTACCCATCCACTGCCGTGCTATTGTATTCTGATTGGGCCCTTCTGTTGTCAGAATACATTGACCAACACTGCAGCCGATTGACTGCAGCCACTGATCAATGAAAGTTTTACATCAGGATTGTTCATCAGGATTGTTAACTTCTGTTGAATAAGGAGGGCCACACACAGATCGAATTTGGCCGGTCCCTGCTACATTGACTGAATTTTGATCTGTGTGTACCCTGCTTAAGAGTTTGTGTGTCTTGCATTTGTGGGTGTTTTGATAAGACATTAATAATCAAAAGTGTAAATTAAAAAACAGTCCACGAACAATAGTTTGTACTCAAATAAAAATCCACAAAACAAAGTGCTTCCAGGTGTCAAAGGGAGAGAAGAAAGGACCCACTCATCCAATGAGACCGGAGAGAAGGGGTGACACCTCAATATCCCAAGTGGCAACAAAGAGTGAGTAGGAGATCTTACTGGAGCTGTTGAGCTTTCAAATTAATGAAAAGCCAGTAGAGCTTTAGGGATTAACCCCAAACATGGTATAATGGTATTTTCACTCCAACTTCGCTTCCCACCAATGAGGGCATAAAAAGATATAAAAACCATAGTGCAGTACGCCCTTGTATAAAAGTTTATTAAAAGTTATCTATTGCACTTTGGTTAAAAGTTCAAAGCTGTCAAAGACAATAGTGGGGCTGCAGCAATACAGTGTAAAATTGTTACGGGCAGCAGGGTTTAAAATTTGTGAGTGTTTTCACCCATCCTGGACATGTTGTATGTAAGAGAAATGACCTATAGTCCAGTTAACAACCCATTACATAATTCTTGCAAATAGTACAGTATACGTATGCAAATTCCTCTGCAAACCTTAACATTTAAGGCCCCTTTCACAAGGCCATATCTGCCTGTCGTTTTCTTGGGCAGATCTGAACGTAAGCTCAATGTTAATGATAAGCGGGTGGATGTAAATGAACATGCATACCTCCAAGCAGGGGCGGACTAACAACTCATGGGGCCCCTGGACAATAGGGGATCATGGGGCCCCTGTGTCCTCGCCCACACTCAAACTACACCCAAAAAAGCCTATGAAAGGTAACAGGGACATCTCATGGGGCCCCCTACTGACCTCAGGCCCTCGGGCAGTGCCCGAGTTCCCCAATGGTCAGTCCGCCCCTGCTTCCAAGTCTTACTAGGCCCCATTCTTTTCTGGTTTCTCAGGTGTAAGCATGATGGATTAGAGGTAAAAGGATGTAAATGGGCACATGTTCATTTACACCTGCCTTGCCCATAGACTAACATGGGTCTATAAGGCTCCACTTGGAAAAAACTGAATAGACATGCATGTCAGAAAAGTGGCATCCATTCCATTCAGTTCTGATTTATGGGATCTGTTCATATATTCCCTGCTGGAATGGACACAGCCTATGTGAAAGGGCCCTTACTGGGCATGTAAAAAAATCACGTTTCTAACAGTTCAAGTTGCAGTTTGGTAGCATTTCTTTAATTGTACCTTCTGTTAAATGAGCTGCCACAGAGAAGAATTTATTTGAATTTAAATCCAGGTGCACCATTAGCTATTTGTATGGCTTGAAACTAACACAATGCAATGCTCCAGCATAATCAACCAGTTCTCAATAATAAATTTTTTTTAGATTTGCTTCCATTTACAAAGGAATGCAGCTACACAATGCATGCCCACATTCCTTTGTTGACAATGTGCTGGGTACTGTCAATGTTATTCTACACTATTGTAACTAGGTATTAAATCAAACATTCCCTCATCAGAATACATGAATAAGATGTGTCTCCATGTAGGGGCAAAATCCTTCTCTCTTACTCGATGGAAAGAGTCGAGGATATTTATATATAGCCATTCAGATGGCTGTAGTCTGTTGTTCCTTTTGTTTTTGGGGAATACAATAATAATGAATCCACTATTTAGCAAACCAATCCTGTGGAAACATATGTAGTACGTGAGAAGGTTGATACAAGGGATTTGTTCTGCATTTAACTAATACTTGACTCACCTTGTCTACAAGCTACTCAAGTATGTTAACAAGTACTCACAAGTATCATTATAATTCTTCAGGCAAAGGGATTTTCTAAACAAGTAAAAAAAACGAAACCTTTCTATCCCCCTATATTTCAAATGCAGTATTTTTTTGCGCAGACCAGAAGCCAAAATAGCACTGCCTGGCCTCTTTTACATGGGCTGAGCTGCTGATTTGCAATCCATGGTAAATCATTTTGTCTGAAGTGGTTAGTATGTGTAGCACTACCCCCCTAGGGGCCACTGAGCTTGATTGGGTCCCCCTAAGCTTTGCATGGCCAGGCAATATGTATTTTCCACACTTGTACTTTCAGAGTCAGTAAAACAGTTCTAGTTGTTTTTATTAAGGGGTTAAAAACTTGGATGGGGGTCTAGGGGTACATGGGATGCCCAAGGAACTGTGAAACTCGAGGACAAACTTCTTAGCAACTTTGCACAAAAATGTGGACCAGCAAGAAAAAAATATAGCAACAGTTTCTGTTAAGACATGCTGCAGTCCTTTTTGGTGTACCTCCTCAGACCCCGGATGAATCCTCCTCTCCAACCAGCTGTACTGAGGGGAATCTCTGAGCAAGGGGGTCCCAAGAGCTTGCAGTTAAGCAGTCCTGTGTGAAGATTAGTTGGGTTTTGCACCTGACCGGCCTCTCCCCTTACCCATCCCAGTGGGTATAGGAGTACTCACACTGTCCTCGCCTGCTAGTGTGGTGGGTCGATGGCTGCCTTCAGGCCTTACACTGGGCTAGCTCCTTCCCTGCTAACAGATTGTCCTCCCAAGGAGATGTTGAGGCAGCAGAGATCCTCCAGCCTGTAGGTAAACGCCCCTCTCTGGGGCCCCCTCCCAGGCTCCACACTACAGCTTTCTCTCAATCCATCTTTCACCCGACTCCCCTCACTCCTTAGGTTCTGTCATTTTTGAGGGTTGCCCAGATCACCATGCACAGCCTACTGCCATGGGATTGATCAAGGTCCCTCAAACATGCAGATCTGGGTTTCCTCCCCTCCTCCTCTCCTGTTCCAGAAAGTTCTCTAGTTTCTGGAAAAGTGGGAGGGCTCTAGAAGCACTGACCTGTAAAACCAACCAGCCTGTCCTGAGGTGAACTCCTGACTCACTCCCAGCCTGACTCATCCCAGGCTACTACTCAGTCTCTAGCTAACAAAAAATCCTATCTAATTAACCTGGGGGCATTACATATGGTTAGCAGGCGATCAGAAAGGAATATGCCACTTCCTGCATGCCTGTGCACACTGAAATCCTTCTTCACTGTGCCACACCCATGTCCATTGGATGCGTTTGCAATGTAGTTGCAACAAGGTTGTGGCACAACCCAATTTACCTCTCTGGGGTATGGTGGCAAGACGTACCCCCTGCTAGACATGACATGCCCAAATTTGTTTGTTGC